CGATAGCAGAGCTTAACGGAAATTGAATTAAATTTTATGAATTAAATGAATGGAAAATTTGTTCTTTAAATTACAGTCAAAAGTCAAATTCAAAGCGTGAATAGGGTGAGGTATTGCTGTTTTTGTAAAGCAGACATATCCGATTAATTCCTTTGTTGGTATGCTATAGTTGGAATAGAAATAGGAAATAGAGTAGCTAGTTGGCAGAATAGACAATAAACTGCTCACTGCTTCACATATCGAGTCTTTGAACTCTTTTATGCAGTAGCCTAAGCAATTAAGGAGAAGGTAAATATAATGTAATACCAAATTTTTCCTAACTCAATATTAGTATTCAATATATATTGATATTTTTTTAATATATATCTGCCCCCTCTCTTTTTCTCTTATAAATTATAATGCAGTAAAAGCTCCTTGGAATAATTCAGGACTTTAAGCTCTATTACATTAGACGAACCTTCAAAATCATAATGGATAATATGGAATGCAATCCTGATACGAATGTTATGGAATGCAGGAAGAAATTTGACGTAGCAAAGTGCGTCGTAAACATAAACGGATCATTGGAAGAACTGAAGCCACACGCACTGAAGTGATGCTGGAAAAAACGGTGGTGTGCTCTGACTGCAGAAAATGACGAAGAATCTGTGCAAGTTCAAACTTTGACTGCAAACATAGCAGAAATCGCGAATGGAATAGATCGAGATAGGTTCGAACAGATAGAATCAAGTGACATGCAAGAATTGCTTGAGTCGCAAGATGAAAATTTGACTGAAACCGACTTGGAGGAAATAATAAATTCACAGCACATTGAAGAAGAGGGTTCAACAAGCACTGGTAACGTGACATTTAATTTGAAAAATCGTAGTGAAGATTTAAAAATAGCAAATGAACTTCGCGATTTCTTTATGAACCTTGATCGGTCTATGGAACAAAGTCTTATTTTTAAGAGGCAAATTGCTGATGCGACTGCTGCGTATCAGTCTGATTTAAAGGAGCTTTTAAAAACTGCCAAGGAAGAGAAACTTACAAAATTCTTCAAACCATTGCCTAAGCCTTAAGATAATTATTTTAAATGCTCAAAAACTTCAATTAAAATGAATATTTTATATATATGTTTTTTTTTTATTTTGTCACCTAGGAATGTATCCCCTATAATCCCATATAAATTACCATTCCGTATTCACGGTTTCTGTATTCGCGGCATTTTTATAGAACGTATACCCCACGAATAAGGAGCTTTTACTGTACTTATTATCTAAAGGCCACAAGAATTGTTGTCATGTGGCCTTTTTTTAACCTGATTAAGATTAGAGAAAGTTATTTTAAATAAAACAAGTAACTTTATGGCTTTGGGCGGTGAACAGTTCATCTGTCATGCGTATATCCAAGTCTCGTTACATCCCAATGTCTGTCACAATGCTACTTATTTAGAACTTACTTTTGGTTAAAGTACAGTCAAAAATTGTGTTGGTTTTCATCCACAATTAAGATGGCTAATAATCGAATCAACTATGAACAAAAAAATTGTATGTTTGTTGATCTGGAATGTATCAGACTGGACCGTGTAAAAAATTTAATAGTTCTCGTATAATTTGTGGCAAGGGTTTAACGTGGGTTCCTGCCTGAAAGGCTTAACCCCACGGTGGCCCAAGCCACTTTTAAGCGTACTACGCCCCCTGGCGAGTTAGACAATCCCCACAGAGTAGGGGCCTAAACACCACCAGAGTCCAGATCAGTTTATTGTGTATGGAACACTCTGGTGAATGGCGAGGCCTAGCTGCACTCAATTGTTCCATTTTAGCTAGGAACTCGCCAACCACAACCACCACGAGTACTCCCCGAAGGGCCGCACCCAAGCAGTCAGGACTCACAAATTGATCAACTGACTGCTTCCGCCATAAGGCTTCCACTGTGCTGTCGATCAATTACCACCATTACCCGCAGGCATCCGTGACATGTGTTCAAAAGTAAAAATAGGTAAAAGGGGAAAACTTATTCGTCATATCTCTTTTCCATTTTTGTATTAATTAATTTACCAGACATTTTCTATCAATCGGCTAAAGGGAAGGCCGTCCGTCAATTCCTTTTTGCATTAATAGTATAATTAATTTATTTATTTATTACGACTTAAGGACAAAGTCCATCATATACCCGCAGGCATACGTGGCTTTGTGAGGCGAGCTTTCTGACCCCCGTGGCTTCCAGTTTGTTTTGCAAAGCCTTATGGCATACTTTGGGCGGTTGTTAAAAACGACCGTACTTGCTTCGGATTCTCCATACTTTCCTGGTTGCCAGCCCCAAGTGAACTACTTTTCTTCAAGATATATAGGTCTCGGGTATTGCACTGAACATGGTAGACTAGTCTAATGCACTCTACCATGCACTCGCTAGATTACTACCTTCATTGTACTTAAATACCATTCAATATATTTCCTCGGTAGTAACTAGCTTATTGAGTAAGAGCTCTTCTTCCAGCCAACCCCTCCACCATCTCTCAGAAACTCGTCGCCGAGTTAGTAGCCCAAAACCTTAAACTCTTCTT